ACAAGTTCATCATTTATAAATTTAGTTAAAGCTAAATTGTGTCCGTGTGTCAAAGTTTATATCTTCTACAGAAAAAAATCAGTCCAGCCCGTACCAAGTAATAAGTATTTACACATGAAAACAGAATGTGACACATGCTCGATGTTTTAAGATAAAATGAATTTGTTATCATCCTTTCCTTTGTATTACTAACAAATATTATTTATAAAATAAGCAGTAAATTTTAATTAGCATAGGAATCTTAAAAATAATTTAACAAAGTTTAATGAACATTTCATCTGTGTGATAGATTTTTAATTCAGTTGTGTTTTAAAACGCCATCTATAAACAAAGTTTTAGTCGATAAAAATTTCGTATTAATTCATTGTGTTTTTATAGAAAGAGTTTATATCTATATATAAATTCACTTTTAAATTAACAAAAGAAATATGTTTACATTTAAATAAAACATAAAATAATATTGGTTTCTAAAAACTTTATTAACGAACGAACACACAGTAAATAAACTTGATAAATCTTTTTATGAAATTCTATGATTTTTGGGATCCGACAAAAGTTAGTTATGACCTTATTTCCTTCGTCGTTTGTAGTAACCATTGTTGTTATCTGACATTTCACATTAATACATTAGTTGTGCAGGACTGAAATAGATTTTACGGAATTATCTAAAGGAGTCAACTTAGTCTGTTTAATTACAGTTCACAAAAAAATATATAACGGATTATTTTGAACATTGAAAAAATAGTAAGCTCAATGAATAAATCATTATTATCATTATTATTTTTTATAAATATTAGAAAATTATTCAGATATTTCTCTCATGGTTACATGGTCAGTTCTAAGAATCTGTGCTTAAGTAGAAAATACAAGTAAACAATATAAGGACGAAAAGAGCTTTAGAAAAGAGATATCTTGCAGAAAATGTTCCTTATACAGAAATTTCGCAGGTAAAGATAAGTTATATTGCAGTTTGATTTCATTTGTCCATAGGTCGGGAATTCATCTCGTTTCAGGAATATAAGATATTTTCTTTTGAATTTCTGTGATATAAAGTTATCATTATTAACATTATTTACACACAGACTATTGTGTTTCCGGGCCTTTATCACGTATTTGTCGATTCAGGGTATTTATACTGAATCAATTACTACATCTCCTGTTAGAAAATTGTGTTATGCTAGACAATTTTTCTCGCCAGAAATTATCTTTTAATATTTATAAGTCTACCATTCGCCCATTCTTTGAATATTGCTACCAAATCTGGTCTGGCACTTCTGCTATATATTTAGAGATTTCTAATAAAATCCAAAGAAGAATGTAAAACGTTATTGGTCTTCACCTGGCATCTCGGCTTCAGTCACTTTTCCACCGCCGTAACGTAGCTTCCCTATGTCTTTTCTATAAAGACTTTCATGGTAATTATTCTGTAGAGCTTTATTCTATGGTGCCTAGATTATATAAATTTAAGAGCAGTACTATGTTGGCAGAAAGATCTCATCATTTTACAATTGAAATGGCAGGATGTAACAGTAAGATTTATGCTAGCATTTTCTTATATCTCACTTCTCGCTTGTGGAACTGCTTTCCGGATTCTTGCTTCCTAGTTAACATTGATCTTCAAAAAATTAAATGTAGTGTCAATCGTTATCTTTTGTCTTCTTAATTTCTGTTCTTTTATTGTTCTCTAGCAGCTCGGATTGAGGAATCGGAGAGCCGAGTTCGAATTCCATTCGAATCCATTACATTCACTTAGGTGCTAATACCCTTGGGAAAGGTATGAATCCTCTTCTTCTCCCTCAGCTATGTGTAAAGGACAGACCAGGTTCTATAGTCTTGGATGTCAACTGTTCTACCGCAGAAAGAAATGACAACGTACTCATGCCAGTCATGTATCAAAAGATACATGATCACCTAAGCGTGTATTATGGTACATAACTGGCTATCATGACAGTGAATGCTGGACAAGTTTATTTTTATTTTATTTCTTTACATACATACATACATACATACATACATACATACATACATACATACATACATACGCACGCACGCACGGTGGAGTAATGGATAGCGGCTCGGATTGAGAAATCGGAGAGCCGATTTCGAATTCTATTTACATCAATTACATTCACTTAGGTGCTAATACCCTTGAGAAAGATATGAATCCTCTTCTTCTCCCCTCAGCTATGGGTAAATAGCAGGACAGACCGGGTTCTGTAACCTTGGATGACAACAAAAGATACATAATCACCTAAGCGTGTATTATGATACATAACTGACTATCATGACAGTGAATGCTGGACAAGTTTATTTTAATTTTAATTGTTTACATACACGTATGCATGGTGGAGTAATGGATAGTGGCTCGGATTGATGAATCGGAGAGCCGAGTTCAAATTCCAGTCAAATCCATTACATTCACTTATGTGCTAATACCCTTGGGAAAGGTATAAATCCCCCTCTTCTCCCTAAATATGGGCAAATAGCAGTAGACATTGGGTTCTATAGCCTTGGATGGCAACTGGTCTACCGCAGAAATAAATGGCAACGTACTGAAGAAAAAATCTGCTTCGTCAGTACGCACCGCTGGTAACGTAACGTACTTTAGACAAAGCAAATACTTTTAACTAAATGAATAAAACCAACAACCCTTAAAAAAATAAAATAAAAAATTCTAAACAAACTAACAAATTACGAATGCACTTAAAGAAAGAATAAAAGTTAACAAACTACACTATAAAATAGTTATCATAACCGCATTCGAATTCAAAATTATTTCTACTAAATAGCCGATAGAATAATTTGAAACCTAAGCCTAAGTATTGGCTTTTTCTAAATATATTATCTGCTGTGTATATAGTGCACATATTTACCCTTTTCATTGTTATATTTTGGAAGGTATTCGTGTCTACCTTTTAAGTTCTAATCGCTTATTTATCATTTTTCCTTCGCGAGAGGTGATTATTCTTGTCTCTAGAAAGAGTCTTACAGGTTTGAGTTTTTTTTTATTCTAGGCTGATTTCTTTATTTTCCGTGATATTTTTCGTGTAATTTACTTTTTGTTTTTAATTTACCTACCATATATGTTCAGAGAGCAATGTCTAAAAATCACTAAGCTTTACCGCCCACCCAATAACCCTTGGGATAATACAACAGACATTACTACCCATAATGTGACATTGATCAGCATATATAAATAGTCGATCCAATACACAACGCACATGACGGGAAGATTGCGTTTAAGCATGGAAAAGACTATTGTCGTCCGGTGTTGACTTCATTGTCTACTTTTTTTTATTTACATAGGCCTGGGGTTGAGCAGTTTTAACCATAAATATAGTATACTTTAAAACTATAATTTTCTCATATATATATGGTTTTTGGGCTAAATTTGACAGGGTCAGCCGATAGAATGATTTGAAACTTAAGCATTACCGTCCGCCAATAACCGTTGAGATAATACAATCGACATTGTTATCCATAATATGACATTGATCAGCATCGAATCGTGTATCGAAAGATACATGATCACCTAAAGTGTATCAAGCATGGCATATAACTGACTCCTTAATAGTGTTTTTTTCATATTCATTCACACTCGCTTGTATCATAGTGGCTTTATTGCCTTCCTTGGGTGAGTGCAATAAAGCTTTGCAAGTATCAGCAGAACTCATCAGCAGAACTCATCAGCAGGTAGGTTAGATTTAAGGCTCCCCTTACTTCACCCAGAATTGCCCGATGATGCAATATCGAATTAAATTATTGGTTCCTGAATTTTTTGAATGTAGTAATCGCGAGTTCAATTCTTAGAGTGGATAGTGTATACTTAGTGCGAACACGGCGAGCACGTGATGAAGGCCGGATGGTAGAAAGGTTGTGAGTATAATAGCAGAGATGGGGACAATAGTAAGGTTGCAAATAACGTAAAAAATCCATATATTTATTAGAAGATTTGAGTCAGGTAACACAGATCCGCCTACATATTCACCTGAAACCCGTTTTGACTTTATCTGTCTATATTTCGGAGATGAGGTAATTATTTACATTGTTTACATTTTTATGACTGTTGTCCTCATCTTTATTGTCAATAAACATCCGGAAGAGGCATGGCACGTGGAATTAAAATAATCTACCCTGTTGGACGAAATAAAGGGTTCAGTTCGAAATCCCAATCTCCTGAAGAAGGCCGGAGTGTACAAAGGTCGAAACGTCGTGAACATGACAAAAAAGACGAGTTCGAACAATATAAATAATGTAAACCGTTTTGACTTGTAGAAAATTATTGATGCCACCTAACTCCAAACAAACATCAAATTCTGTTCGAAGACCCAAATAATTGTAAATCTGCAGCTTACTAACCATATCGTAAGTCATCTAGATATTCAGCATCATAATACTATTTAAATGTAATTATTATGTAAAAGCAACACCATATTGATTACAGATATCAGGATAACTCCTGAGCCATCTTTTCAAGATGAACATTCACAACTGGAGCGGTTATCGTCTGCTAAATGCTAGTGACACCCAGCACCTAACAGAATAGCCGTGGCGGCAGAGGCGAGTTTCTTGAATCATGCAGTCGATGCTAACACTAGTAAGCAGAAGCGGAGAGTCTTCTTGTTGATATTCATAGAACAACGTTCGAATCTAGCCGACTTCCACCCACCAGCGAGAGGAATAGGGAGTTCGTTCATTGATTCTCGATTCCTTAGGAAATTTTGCCGAATTTGTGCAAGAGCTAGAATCAAATTCAACGAAGGAAAAGTATGAATGTAAAAGTATTTTTAAAGTGCAGATCTGATGCACGTATTGCGTATTATGTCAAGAAACATGCCAAAGCTTCAAGCATGTTCCAGTGCCAAACATCCGAACCAATATTTTCACATCTTTCATTTCTGTGATTTGGTTGTTGGCACTGAAACTGGAAGCGATCGAAAATTTTCTATTCATTGCTTATTTGATTTTTTTTTCATGCCTTAGTGCCAATTCCATGTTTT